GATCTACCTGAGATTTCTTAGTTGCTGTTGTGACATAATATTAATAGAAACTTTACAGATTTAAACAACTTAAACTTGTAAATTTTACATACTGTAAAGAATCATTGTAAAGTAGAGCAGAGAGTCAAGGGTTTTTGGGCTCCTGAAAGCAAATCAAATGGATTTTGAGCTAAATAATGAATCACATGAACGAGTCATAGACAAGAGACTAATGTGAAAAATGTGGACCTTGTGTTCTCTTTAATGCTTTAAAAAAAAATAACACAGTTACTCGTTTGGTTGCAGATTTTTCATGGAACCGCAAGGATTTGTTCCGTCTTTATATCAGTTGTGTTTATATCCTCTAGTAGATCAGCTGAATAATGGATGACTGAATAAACTCATATGAGACTTCAGCAGTTGTCTGATCCTCTGCAGTTATTTCAATAAGATTTTCTTGCATCTTTATGACGTGATTATCAAAGTAGAAAGTATTTTTTTGTGCCATCAAGTTGAGCACACAGTGGGACTGAAGTACACATGCATGTTGAGTTGAGCAAACAATGCACCCTGCACGTGCTCAACTCTGCCCGTTTGCACTTTGGAGTTGACCCAAAGTATGGCAGGCCGTTTTACAAAATAATAAATTATATTCCCACATATATTTACTATTTCAGATTTAAATAACATAATTTGTCCTGGTCACAATAACATTCTTATTAGTCAAAACTGAAATTTATGATAGCTATTTTAAGTGGCACAGTGGCTCAGTTGGTAGAGCTGTTGCCTCTCAGGTGGCCGGATCAAATCCCGGCCCTGGGCCTTTCTGGGTGACGTTTGCATGTTATCTCTGTGCATGCATGCGTTTTCACCGGGTACTCCATTTTCCTCCCACATACCAAAAACATGCATGTTAGACTGATTGGTAACTCTAAATTGTCTCTAGGTGTGAGTGAGAGCGTGAATGGTGGTTTGTCTCATTTGTCTCTATGTGTCCCTGTGATGGACTGGAGACCTGTCCAGGGTGTCCCCTGCCTCTCACACACTGACTGTACTAACTGCTGGATATGGGCACCAGCGACCCCCATGACCCAAAAAGGAAAAAGCAGGTAAAAGGTAATGGATGATAGTTATTTTAAATTTTAATACTATGTAACAAAGTAAAAAATATATATATTTATATATATATATATATGTGTGTGTGTGTAAACCATTAAAAAGTTAAAGTGGTTACCTAAATATTTAACGGTCAGGATGGAGTGTCTGTTGTTACCAAATACGTACATACACACACACACACACACACACACACACACATACACACATAAATACATACCACTTTTTTAAAAATAAAATCAACAGCTTTTAAGGGGTTTTATAAATTTTACTTGTATTTGACTTGTACAAGTATAATTGTGGGTCTTGTAATTTTTAACCATAATCATTTCAATGCAGACTTGTTTAGTTTCAAGTTTGACTAGTAAAAATACTGTTGTTGAAATCTACAACAGTAGAGATATGAGTGATCTGATTATATGGTCAGACAACTTGCCATACTTTCAGGAAACGGGCAGAATTGAGCATTCCTAAAATGCTGAGCTCCTGCATGACACATTATTGTTTGCTTGGCTTATCGTGCACATCAGACTTGTCATGGTCAGCTGGAGGGCACAAAAATTGCTCCGTAATAAAAAAAATTGTATGTTTCTGTGCTTTTAATTGCAGATGAAAATCATTTTTACATTTTTCCTACTATTTCTGTCAGGTTTTTTGTTTGTTTGTTTTAATCGACGGGACTGAAAATCTGTTTAATACTGAATCATAATGTGCACGGGAAAATCTGACAAAATTATGCATTAAATAAATAATAATTTTTTATTCATATATATAAATATAAATAACATACAATT